CAGATACTGGTGCTGAATAAATATATTAAGCATTCATTCTTCTCTGTGTATCATTCACATCATTGATACAACACAAATATTCTTAGTTCTAAGACACAATTTATATTTACTGGAAAAATAGCTATGGTGTCTATTTTACCAGGACCAGCAAAATAGCCTATTTGTTAGTTTTAATGTATTTCATTTAAGTGGAAAGATCATGTTTAATTATGACACTTTTTAATTTGTCAAAATATTTCATTTTATTGATTCTAAGACTGAAATTGAAAGAAGCTAAACAATATTTTTGACATAAATAATATTTATTTTAAGGTAAAATTCTGACTGATATGTAAAAAAAAATGATGCTCCTATATAGCAATAAATGCTCACAGATTGAGAAGATATTTGAAGCAACAGAGGTTATCAAGAAGGATTGTGAGAATACCATGAACTGAACATGTGAGCAACGATAAAGTTTTAAAGAAAATGGAAACAAAAAGGATACTTATATATAGCATCAGAAAGGGATGGTTGAAATTTTATTTAGACACAGAAAAAGATTTTTTCTAATTAAATCAACTTTACTACAACTCTTTCATTAGAAACAAAGAAAAGAGTACAGAACTGTTGTATAATATCAGCCGACATATATGGCAGTAAATGCTAGACAATCTCTCCACAGATGAGGAAGAAACTTAAAGCAATAGAAATGTTATTCTACAGAAGGATGCTGAGAATACCGTGGACTGAACATGTGAGTGACGACAAAGTTTTAGAGAAAATAAAAAAAAACATTTATTCTTAACATCAGAAATAGAGAGTTGAAATTTAAAGGGTACATAATGAGGAAAGAGGACTTGGAGAATTTGACACTGACAGGGCATACTAGGGCAAGAAGAGCAGAGGAAAGCAGCTGGTAATCTACTTAATGAACATGTGTAAATGGGTGGTAGAACAGGGTTTAGAAGAGGTAACATAAAGAAAATAATGAGGAAAGAGGGCTTAGAAAATTCAACACTCACAGAACATTAAAGGCAAGAGGGACTGAGGAAATCAATGAATAACCTATTTATTAAATAGCTTGTGTAAATCGTAGGCAGAATATTGATTAGAAGAGATAGCAAAAAGACAAAATTTACAAAGAACTTTTGCAGGTCAGGAAATTGTGGAGAGCCATGATTGCCCACACCTTGAAGAGACTTGGTACATAGAAGAAGAAAACATTATAAAGGAGGTACTGTGAATGACCAAACATTCCAAAAGGGGTTTACAAAATTTTGTGGTGAAGATTACTCAGTGAATGATACTGAATGATACTCCTTGTTTTAATATTGGTACTCATAGTTGTTATATTATAAATCAAACTGGAATAATTACTGTTAACAAATATTAAGATACTAAAAATGTCTGATATTAAATAACCATGGGTATTGTTCCTCTGTCAAATGTATGGAAATGACTAATACAGTGAGGGGCTCTGAGAGTTAAGTAAGGTAATTTAATGATGGAGAAATAATAAAATCTAAACTCAGCTTCTTGTTAACCTCAAGAAAAGTAATAAATATAACTCTCCAAAAACGAAAATTCTTATGTTCTGACTTTAATGACCAAAACTAAAAGAGTAATTCTTTAAAGAAGAAATTCAATTATGACATTGACATTAACTTAATGAGTGTAGTGTTCATGAACAAGCAATGTCTTTAGCAAGAGTGTCTTCTTTGTCTAACGTTTATTACTGACATGAAATGGAGCAATTATATTCAATCAACTGTTAGGTCAGCTACTAAGAAGAAGTAGTTCACTGTGTTATAGTCAGACAATTTTTCTCATTACAATGCAGGTTACACATTTATAAATCTACCATTCATTCATTCATTGAATATTGCTGCCATATCTGGTCTGGTGCTCTATATCTCAAGATTCTTGACAAAATCCAAAGAGGCTGCAATGTAATCAATCCTGACATGACATCTCAACTTCAGTCAATTTCCCATCACTGTCACTGTAACAAGGCTTCCCTCTGTCTTTTCTATAAATATTTTCATGGCATCTGCTCTGACAAGCTCTCCTCTTTGGTACCTCAGCCACATGTATTAAACATACTACAAGATTGTTTACCAGCTCTCAGCATTTTACTGGTGAAACAGCTAGATAGAACTGCAAGTACTATCCTAATAGTTTTCCTTCTCACACTTCTTGTGTGTGGAACTTGTGTCCATACAAAATAAATAAAAATTAATTATAGTGTCAAAAAAATAATTATAATAAAATAATTATAAAAATTATAATTAATTATCATTAATTCACTCATTCGGAACCAATGAGAATCAACCACACTTTTCTCTTCAACCGACACAAGCACATGTCATTCTCAGTAACAAGCAATTCACACGGACATGTCGTTAACATGTGTGTCAACAAAAATTTCATCTTCTTTTCAGGTCATAATAGTAACATTTTTCTTTTATCTCTAAACAAAGATTTGAAGTCAGCGAACCCCAGACACTTCTTGTATATTCCAACTCAATTTTCTAGACATACATTGCACACATCTATAAAAAACATGCAAGAAAGATTGTAAACTTTTTAACAAGAAAAATCCCAAGATGATGTTCTAAATTGCCACAAACATTGCTGATTTATTTAAGATGGAATGATCTATTATGACATGTCTCTAATTATTTAAGATGGAATGTTCTATTATGACATGTGTCTAATTTTTATTTAGATGCAGTGTATTTATTTTCAATTTTTCTATTTGAATTGATCACCAATATTGCATATGATTCATTATTGCACATAATTAGTGTTATAGTGGAACACACCTATTGTATAGTTAATAGACTCTCCCACCTATAATAAGTAGGAGTAGTAAGAGTAACGGAGTCGTTCAGTGAGTTGGTCAGTCAGTCGATTCCAGACGACCGTTAGTCGGATATTAAAGTATCAGCCACCACAACTAGATTTCTCTGTGTTATATCTATTATATCAAGTTCCTAACGTTTTGTACATTGAACCTATTTTAGGACTGACTTGTTACAAAGCCTCCACTGTAAAATCACTCCATAACAATTAAGTTGCAAAAAAAATTTGTATTTTTTATGAATACTATCATATGAAAATTGAGTGAAGGGGGCTATGTATCATAGCACTGGCTCTCACCTGTTTCTTCTCACCTCAACCTACTTTGATATTAAATAGCAAAGTAGATTTGTTTCTCAAGCCTTATATTAGCATCTGGTCTAAGAGAAGGAATACTTTTAATTCTGCACCATGGAAAAAGCAATGGTAAATAACTCTCCTATCTTTCCTAAGAATACATTGTAATTGTCATGAGTCCTTACCTATAACTACAGAATGAACTCTTCCTAACACTATGTATACTAAGCCTCTCAAGATAGAGGGTCGGATCAAGTCGAGCTGATAGTAGTTCACTCCAAACCAGACTGACAGTCATACTAACACCTTACACATCTTGTATTATTATTTTGTGTAATATACCTTTGTTATTTCTACTCTTGTGTTCGTGTTGTTCTTCCTTGGTTCTAACCTGGACCATAACAGTAATTCACAGATAATAAAAAGAAAAAAAGATTAGAAATCAGTGGAGAAATATGATCAACTTTGTCTTAAAAGGACATGTAATTTAAAAAAATAAATTATTTAATTAAGGTGATTAGAGTTTTATTATTATTAATTTTGGCTTTCACATTTTAGTTGGTTTTGATCATAACTTTTTTGCTCAGGCTGTGAAAGGATGGTGCACATCTAAAAAGAAAAACTTACATCCTCGGTGAGATTTGAACTCATATTCCTTTTGGCTCAGAGAAATCTGGCTGAATGATCCAGACGCTTGAAGCTATGAGAAAAGTCAATGGTTTTGAAGAAGATCAAATCTAAACTTTAAACTGAACCTTTATTCCCTGATCACTTTGAAGCAAAAGAGACATGAATTCAGATTAAAGAGATTTTCCCCTATATCCAATCCTTTACTCTCTACAAAGCACCATAGACTGATACCTTACATTATGATAAAATGCAAGTAAAAAGTTAAGATGAAAGTTAATACAAGTTAAAATTAAGAATATCAGTGGATGACAATGATAAAAATTGAAATTAAAATGATTATCATTTCCTTTATTATTATTTCTTATTCCAACACATTTCACAGGATTCCAGCCATTCTAAGCAGTACAGTCTTCTGATTTTGATTCCAACCATTATAATTATTGATGTTATAATTTTAATTTTTCTTTGGACTTTTAATTCTTCCAATCTCTTTCAAAGGCTCTTGGAGACCACTTCAAGACATCCATATTAGATACAGCTATTAGCTTCATCTTCTACAACTTTTCAGTTCTTTTGTAATGTCTAAATATTTGTCTAGCATTTCACATTCTTTCAATCAGCAAAATCTGTTATCAGACAAGTTTTCATCACTTTGCTTATGGTGATGAGGTTATAATGTAAGTGGGTACTGAAAAGTTCTTGAAAAGTCACAATATGTGTATGTTAACACTTCCAGCCTATTATGATTAGAAGCCACTAAAATCATGTTTGCTGAAGTATTAGGTCAAATAATAAATAATAATTATTTCTTCCAGAGAAACTTTGTTTGCCATTTTTTATTCATTTTCTTATTTTTTTCTTACCGTCTTTTTCCTCCTCATACCTATTTTCTTTGTTTTTCTTCATCATTTATTTTGATTTTTATAATAGTCTTTTTCATCAACATTACTTTCTATTTTTTTCATTGTTCTTTGTCTTCATTGATCCTTTCTTTTTCTAATATTCTTTTTCTTCACCATTCATTTCTCTTTTTCTTTCTTTTTCTCATTTCTTTCTTTCATCCAATTTTCTTTTTCTTCGTCAGTCTTTTTTTCTAATAATCTTTTTTCTTCATCTTGCCTTTCTTCATTTTCACTTTCTTTTTCTTCATCATTCCATTCTATTTTTCTAATATTCTTTTTCTTCATTGATACTTTCTTTTTCTTCCCCATTCCTTTCTTCCTTTTTCAATGTTCTTTTTCTTTAATGATCCATTCCTTTTTTCTTTATTTTTCTTCCATTCTTTTATCCAATATACTTTTTCCTCATCATACATTTATTTTTCTTTATTATTCATTTATTCTTTCCCACCTCTTATTTATAGTTCCTTTCTTTTCCCAACTCATTTCTTTTTCCCATTTTCTTTTTCCTTTCTTCTTTCTCACCTTCTTTTTCTTCATCATTCCTTCTTTTTTTCTAATATCTTTTTCTTCATTGCTCTTTTCGTTGCTCTAATTTTTCTCTTTCTTCATCATTCTTTTTTCTCTTCTAATCTTTTTCTTAATTATTCCTTTATTTTAAAAAAAAAAAATTTTTCTTCATCATTTTTTTTTCTAAGTTTTTTCTTCATCATTTCTTTGTTTGAGTTTTCTTCTTCTTTATATGCCATTTCCTATCAGGACATAGGCGATCATGGCCCGCCTCAACTTCCTGTCCTCTGTAGCTCTTAATAAATTTTGTCTTTCTGTTATTTCTCCTCAATTCTGTTCTGCCATACTTAAATATGTTAACCATATACATAAGTCATACTAAGTATGTTATGCATTTGTTTCCTCTGTTTCTTGTGCCTTTTATCTGTCTTGTGGGTATCAGATTTTCCAAGCCCTCTTTCATGATGTGTTCTATAAGCTTCTTTTTCTTATTATTTGTTTCTTCATTCTAATCTTAATTTTCTTCTTCTCTCAAATTTTGCTCAGTCTTGTTTTTTTCAAAATCTCATTTAATATAAGGAAATGATTGAAAATCTAACTAGATTTACTATTTGTCTGCACCACAATATTAATTAATACTATATTAATTATATACATCAGAATTATTAATTATTAATCAGAACTCTGATTATAAATTGGAAGCTTAATTAACTACATGCAAGACAAAAAATAAATTGTGGTCTTGTCAAAATTTTCGGTGTTTAATTGGATTCAAAGAAACATTAAAAGATAGAACTAATGAAGGCTTGCTCAAATTCTGTGTTCCACTTATCATCTCAGATTGTTATTGATGCAATATGGCTGACAGACTTCTGTCTCAAGTTTCAAATTCACTGAAAATTAAATTACTGAATGCTAGTTTTGATTAGTCCTTCAGCTTGTATATTTATTATATTTTCTCAAGTAGATTTTTACAAGGTAAGATTGTAGGCCTCACCTACTTTTAGTCTGTCTATATGCCACATCTCTTCATAACATGAGCAATCATGGCTCTCGAAAACTTCCTATCCCTTGTTGCCCAGTTTTTCTAATTTTACTAAGGCTCCTCCAACACCATTGGACCATCAGTTTATGCAAGCTTGGCAGGTAGGTGGTTCATTTCCTTCCTCTATCTTTCTTACCCTAAATATGTCCTGTGAGGGTTAAGTTTTCTAAGCTATTCTTCTTAATTATGTTTCCAAGGAATTTCAGATATCTTGTCCTGATTCTGAGTATAAGTGTTCTTTTTGTTGCCATTTTCTTTAAGACTTACTTGTTGCTTGCTTGTTCCATCTGTAGAATTATCAGTATCCTTCTGTAGAAGCACATTTCTGTTGTTTCGAGTTTTTTCCTCACCTGTGGGGAGATTGTCCAGCATTTACTGCCATATAAGACAATGGATATCACATAACAATCCAGCACTCTTTTCATTTTTTACTAAAAGTTTCTAAGTAATTAATTTTTCCTATTTTATTTGAATCCTTTATTTGAAAAAGAAGAGTATATTTCATTCTTAGTTTAAATTCAGCATTGTCCTTCTCCAAAACTGGTTGCTAGCCAAGGCTAAATTTCCCAACCTATTTTATATACCATTATATTATTTCTTTTATTCCATTATATTATTCTTTTATGCTTTTATTCCATTATATTATTCTTTTATTCTTTTATTCCATTATATTATTCTTGGTAGAGATAGAGCTATGGTTTCCTGTTGTTTTTGAATTAAGAATTAGAACGTGCCATGCAAATACATGCATAGGCAATCATGTATCTTTTGATACATGACTGGCAAGGCAGATTTTTTTCCCGCAGTAACTTGCCATTTCTTTCTGTGGTAGACCAGTTACCTGTCCTGCTATTTACCCATAGCTTGTGGGAGAGAAAGAGAATTCATACCTTTCCCAAGGGTATTAGAATGTAATGGATTCAACTGGGATTTGAACTTGGCTCCCTGATTCCTCAATCTGAGCTGCTATCCATTACACCACCGTACTTTTCAATATTATCCATTTTTTGTCTGAGATTTGAATTTTTACATTCAAAATTATAGTTTATAATGATAGTCAAGATATATGGAAAAGAAAGGTGTCAATTTAAACTGATACCTAAAAGCTATTGGTTAACTAAGGATGTCAATATTAAGCAGGTACATAAATTTAATTATTTTTATAAGACATTGATAGACGTCAGATATGGTGGCATTGAAATCAAAACTGTGTATGAATTACAAAAGTTACTTTTCAGAAAATGAACAAAGTAATATTGGTTTGGTTTATTTTGATTTAAGGCATATCAACCTCAATGGGTTATTTTATACTAACAAAATTTTGAGGTACATTATTTACATTATTCAGACTATTGTCCTCATCTTTGTCACCATATTTATCACAAAATTTTGGCCATTGTACACTCTGGCCTTCTTCAGGTGGTTGGAATTTTGAACTGAACCCTTTATTTCGTTCACTGGGGTAGACAGTTCTAGTTCCACGTGCCATGTTTGATGGATGTCAGTTATTAGTTATCTCCTGCTAATTTCCCTCTGAAAGTTCTCCAATGCCTTAACCGGGTATTGAACTCACACTCTTTGGGTCCTGTCACTGGATCTAACCAACGCCTTTATCCACTGTGCCATGACAATAGTCTGAATAATGTAAATAATATACATAATACCTCATCTCAGAAATATAGACAGACCCTGAAGATTTTGAGGATAGGTTTGTATGAATAGAATATGTAAGAAATCAGATTGAAGTTCAAGTTTCATTAACATATTTTTTTGTAAAGAAGGTTTTTATTGAGAATCACATAATGTATTAATGTATTGCTGTTTTTTTTTTTACTATAAAAATGTATTTTTACACTTTCATAGTGTTTTGATCCCAGTTTGGGGCAGAGGGTAACTATTTGCCTATACCTGGGACCCTAACAGGTGCTACCTCACTAGATCAGAGTGGGCCTGAGAACAACAGCAATTAACAGGTAGTTCCATGTGCCTCAAAATCTGCTGGCCTTGTTGCTGGATGTAGTTCATTGTCATACCCAGTAAAGAAGTAGTAAAGCATAAATAAAGGCCTTATGGAAGGAAAAAGAATTTTGGACTGTAATAGACTTGAAGCAACAGAAATGTGGTTCTACAGAAGGATGCTGAAGATACCATAGGCCCAACATATGGACAATGACAAGATTTTTGAGAACATGGAAACAAAAAGGGCACTTATACTTGACATCAGGAAAAGATAGTTGAAATTTCTGGGGCACATAAAAAGGAAAGAGGATTTGGACAGATTGAAAGCAAGAGGGACAGAGGAAAGCAGTGTATAACCTACCTAACAATATTGTGTAAACAAAATTTAGTAAGAACTGCAAAGGAAAGGAAATTTTGAAGACCTATCCTTACCCAAATCCTGAAGAGACATGTCACATAGAAGAAGAATAATCTTCAGCCACTATTAATGAGTTATGGGCATAATTAAGACTTTTAGCCAGACAGAAAATTCATCATCACTATTTCTGTATTACTACCTTAGTTTTGATAGTTAAAATAGTCCATAATATACTTGCTGAACTTAAGTAAATGGATGGCAGAACAGTGTTTAGGAGAAATAATGACAAGACAAAATTTATTAAGAGCTTTTTTTTTAAAGCATTTCACCCCAAGCAAGGTGGGAAGCCACTAGCACACAAGGGGTTACAGAGAGTTGGAGCAAGAACAAAGAGGCGTGATAGAGGAAAGGATGAAGAGAAGGATAGGGGATAGATCTGGAGATGTTGACTGACATTACATTTGAATAGTTGGAGATTATATCTATCAGGGAAACAAGAAAAGGGAAGGAGTTCCACAGGTGAGAAGTGTGAGACATGAAGCTATTGGAGTAGAATAGATGGCTACATTTAACAGTTTTGTCAGTGAAAGGGTGAGAGCAAGATGCTAGCCTAGTTGAATGCTTAAATTTATGAAGTCTGGGAACCAGTGAAAGCAGCTCATCAAAGCAGTTACCGTGAAAGTATTTGTAAAAAAGAAAGAGGGAGGCGATTAAACATCTGTGAGAGAGTGACTGCAGACAAGATGCCAGATCAGGGCCAATTACATTGTATATCTGTCTCTAGATTTTATCCAGACCATATATAGCAGCAATACTCCATGCAAAGGTGAATGGTTGATTTGTAGATTTGAAGTATTGACTCCGGCAAGAAAAATTTCCTGGCACAGCACAGGGAGCCAACTTTCCTTGTGGTGGACAAAGCTATTGACTCAATGTATTTGTTCCATCTCAGGTCAGCAGACAATGTGAGACTGAGCAGTCACAAAGAGGTGCTCTTGTGGAGGTGAGTGTCAGACATTCTAATGGGAGGCAGAGATGGTTCTCTATGGTGAGTAATAGAGAGCAGTTTTGTTTTTGAGCCATCAAAGTTAACCAGCCAATTCCTTCCCCAGTCCACAAACGAAGGAAAGAAAATTGTGGAAACCCATGATCACCTACATCATGAGGGAACACAGCACATAAAAAGATGTAATGTCTCATCTCCTCTATGAAAGAATATGAAGAAAAGATTTGAAATAAGAGATACATAGTTCTGTGAATGTTGTCACAGAATATTCAAAATGAATAAACACTGAGTGAATGTTATTTTGGAAGGTTTATTTTCTTTTTTATGAATACAAAATGTATCCTTCTTGTGTGACAGTTTCATAGCTTGCGGTACATTAGAATAAAGACAGAGTGTAACCAGCTCCTTCTTTGTAGCATCATTTCCTTGTCTGCAAAATATGTTCTCACTAGTAACATAGCAGATAAATCCACTCCACTGAAACCTGTAATCCTTAATATGACTTCTCCATGATGGACTCTCCTGGTGACATAGTAGAAATTGAATTTTATTTATGCTAAACATATTAAATAAAACTTCATAATTATTCATGAGTGAAGTGAATGTTATTTGTCAATTTTGAGATAATTTTATCTGAGAAACTGAGATGTGTTTTTATATAGACAGGGTGGAGGCAAAAAGTCGCACTCCATATGGGTTAATGAATAGGTCAAAGAGGTCCTCTTGTTGAGTGGCCACTGAGGTCATCAGACTTCACACCCTTAGATTTTTTTCTATGGGGCCATTTGAAATAAGTTGTTTATCAGATGTGCCCAAGAAATATTGAAGAACGTAAAGAAAGAATTAAATATGAATGCAGTAAAATGACAGAGGAAATGTTAATGAATCAGGCACAGAATTGAAATGTATTTTGAAAAAGAAGGAGGACATTT